GGGCCAGCACGCCGGGCGCATCTCGCAGCTGAGGCGCCTGGCCCAGCGCCCGCCCCCACCAGCCCCTGCCCGGCGCCAGACTGGGGGAGGCAGACACTCCAGCATCTGGTCCGAGATGTCCCAGTGGCGCTGGGGCGTGGCATTGAGCCACACCCAGCCTGTCCGATAGAGACTGAGAAACGACGCTCCGAAATTCTCCGAGGCCGTCAATGCGCGACCCACCAGGCGCACCCAGCACAAAGACTGCACCGCCACGTCTGCTGGCACCGCCGCGCCAGTCAGAACGTAGACAGGAGTCGGCGGCACTGACGGGCGCGCGTCGACCTGGGCCTGGGTCCTCAAGGAATACCTCTACTCTCGAGCAAAAAGACACACGGCGCTTAGCATTGAGGAGCGCGCAGGTAGTCACAAGGGCGCCCGACGCATAACGGCGCCCCGGGGCTCTGTAATTATTCGATGCTGCGTCCTGCGTGCCCGACGAAGCATGCGTCCTCGGGGCCGCAATCGCGTCGGAAATCCGCGCCGCGTGGCCGACGAGATCTGGGCTGGCGGGTGATTTTGAAATCCCTGGCCTGGTCGGTAGCACGGCGTCGCCCGCGCCCCCAGCGTCGCCGCTGCCCCCTCGGAACCCTCAGACGCCGAGACTTCGCGCCCCGGGACCTCAATTGTTTAGCCATAAGAGGACGGAGCGGGCTACTAACCACTCTGGAAGGGAGCCGAGGACGTAGAAGTAGTGACGAAATTGGCATTCCTGGCCAACTTCTGGGAGATCCCCCGAAGATTCCGCGCGCAACCCCAAGTCGACCCCCTGAGAGCCGACGGCCCCACGCGCAGCCCCAGCGGACCCCCTCGGGCGCTGACGGCCCCGCGCGCAGCCCCCAGCCGACCCCCGCGGGCTCTCTGACGTCGAAGTCTCGAAGCCTTGACCTTCCTCGCCGCGCCCCCCTCATCGCCGTCGCATCGTCGCCGCGCCGCCGTCGAAGCGCAGCTCGGCGCGAATGCATGGAAGTCTGCCTTCGCAAGGCCGAACTTGGCAGCGACAGCCTCGGGCGCTTGAAACTCGGCCAGGGGCGGCAATTTGCCCGCTCGAATCGACGGGCGCCTCGAAGGCGGCGGCTCGGTTCAGCGCCTGAAAGGGGGGGCGCACACGCACGCCGTCCCCAGGGGAAGGTCAATCGCAGTTCTTAGCATGGGCTGCAAGCTCATAGGCATCAAGACTGGAACCTCCCCACCGATCGAATCGACCTCAACTACTCCTCCGCGCCCTTCGATCCCTGCGGGAAAGAAGAGACCTGAGAGCACCCTCGTCTTGCCTCCGTCTCCTCCGGCCGAGGGGTTCGAGCTCTGGGCCCAGGGAATCCGACATCCCAGAGAGGCCAAGCAAGCGCCCATGTTCTTCAAAGACTCCGGGCCGATCAGGCCCTGCCCTGCTGCCGCGCCCTCTACCATCTCCCCTCCGTCGGTGGTCAGGAAAGAGATTGCCGCCTCTGAAGTCCGGCAGCGGTCGACCACCTCTCGGATGCTCTCGAGGCCGAAGGACGCGAGGACCAAGCCAGAGGACTGCGAGCCGTCGTTGTGGAAGACAAAGCCCGCGAGAGCCGTCGTCGGGCTCGAGCCGCTTGATGGTCGGGGCACTTCTGGATTATTGCACTCTCGTGCCCAGTGGCCATTCTGCTGGCATCGATGGCGCCTCGTGACCTTCATCGGCCGTTGAAGAGAAGGGTCGCTCCTTGCGAAAAGCCGTCGGCCGTCTTGACCTCGATGACCGGCGGGAGGGTGAGTGGCAAAGAACTTCCTATCTACCTTGAGTCGCCTCTTGAAGTCTTTGTTATGTTTCCGGGTCTCGCGGCGCTCGCTGGAGATCTCGGCTGCAACGGTGGGCACCTCCAATTCGTTCAGACTGGACTGCTCGATCTTGGCCAAAATGGCGTTCTCGAGCTCTGGGTCGAGGGGTGAAACACATGCTGCTCCGTCATATTCTCCAACGAACGTCTCAAGACACGTCTCCGTCACGAAACTTTTCGAAGAAGAGCCTGCTGTCAACGATTCATTTCTGGTCATGTCCATCTCGCGGATGGCCCGCAGCAGGTCGCAGTAGTCGCCAATGTTCTTGCTGGGTATATTGAGCATCTGCTTGCCTGAGTCGGCGAGGCCGACTCCTTCTTCAATGAACAAGCGGCGCCACTGGCTGCCCAGGTCGAGCCCCTGAGAAGCCAGACGGTCGAAGACCTGATCCATCCGCGCAGCGTAGAGACTGAAAGACTCGCCCTGACCTCGCTGGAAACCGTACAGGCACTCTCTTCCGGATCTCATCATCTCAGCGTTTTGTCGCTGGCCACTGAGCTCGTCTAGCCGCTTAAGCACTGTTTCAGGACCCTGAGGCGAGACCAACGCACTATCAAGGACATCCTCGAACTGCTTCCTGAGCTCAAGGTTCAGCACCTCCAGGATTCGATCAGCTCGTCTGGCGGTGGAGATTTCAATGCCCGCGAGCCAGCGAAAAAAAACTCCTCTCCGCCCTATGCGAAAGTCACCCCAATCGAGCCGCGGGCCGGTGTCTGCCATGTTGGGCTTCTCCCACCAGCTCGATGCAGCTGTCGGGGTCCAGCGGTCCTGCTGCCACGTGTCGAGTGACCAGCCCGGGCCATGGCTGAAGTCCGCGGCCGCGGAGGAGGACCGCCACGGGTCCGCACAAGCTCCCCAACTTGGGCCTGTGGTGTCCCATCGCGTGTCGCCCTCGCGGCCTCCTCGACCCGAGTCTGAGCTCCACGGATCGCCTACCTGATCCCACGAGCCGTAGTTGTCGTCCCCGTCGGAGGATTGTGGTCGAGACGCACCTTCTGGTTTGTCTCCTGTCGGGACGAGTTGTGAAACAGCCTGCTGCAGCTCTTGTCGTAACATCTGTCTGATCTCCTTCGCCTGCTCCGTCGTGAAGCTAGATGTACTCCCTCGGGCCTCTGGGCCCTCTGCATGTTCGCCGTCTGCTGTCTGGTCGTCCTTAGCGCGTTCGCCACTGGTCGCCGGCATGGCGGCGGCAAAACTGGAGGCGTCCCGGAAGAACCCGACGCTCCGCTACCAACTAGGGACGATGTTTTCGCGAAGCAAAATGCCAAAGGTGACTGAGATCAAACAGCCATGAAACGGAAAGACTGAAACTCAAGAAGAGCTCTAACATCTCAGATAACGAAAAGATGATTCAGTTCGAAGGGCTCAAAATTCAACATAAATAATGTTTGTTTCCCGCTCCTCCTCCTCCTCCTCCTCCTCCTCCTCCTCCTCCGCCTTTTCCTCCTCCTCTTTGCCGTTTCTCCTTCTCCTCCTTATACTCCTCCTCCTCCTGAAGAATGACACGAGGAGGAGCGGGAGGAGGAGCGGGAGGAGAACGACAAGGAGGAAGAGCAGGAGGAGGAGGAGGAGGAGGGGGAGCGAGGGGAGGAGGAAGAGGTTTCAGGACCATTTCAGAAGGTCCGAAAATTTTGAAACAAAATACCTATTCAAGAATTTCGAAATTTCCAGGGACGCTGGATCCGCAGCCCAGGAGACCAGGAACCCCGAAAAACGCAGGGAAGGGGCTGACGATAATGACGGGGCCGGTAGATGAGGAGGAGGAGGAGGAGGAGGAGGAAGAAGAAAATCCCCAAGAATATATCCCACCGTGGTCGTACGTACCCCTCCCTCCCTCCCTCCCTCCCTCCCAACCTCCTCCCTCTCTCTCCCCGACTTGGGAGAGCAAAACAATAGCAACGACTCTCAAAATCGCGGGCGCCAAATGGTCCAAGACACTACGACGCCAGTCAGCAAGCGGTGGGGTGCACCGGAAGCAAATTGCGGCACGACGGCAAACGGGAAATGGACGGCAGGGTGAACAACAAATATCAACAACACGCCGCCGTAAAAAGCCGTCAGCGAGATACTGCGTTGAAGGTACACCGCGCCCTTGCATCCTGGACGCCATGACTACGAAGCGTCATAGTCCAAATATCGAATGATTGCTGTATGCTCAAGTGTGTTGAATGTTCTCGAATGTCACCGATCCACCATATATTCAAGAAAACATGCAACACACATATGATATGCATTGTAAATATTAAAAAAAATATGGTTAGAATGTGGTTCGATATCATACTCAAAACATTCATGATAACAGCAGTAATGAACATTATACTTTGACATTAAGAATGCATATCAGACGTGTTTGTTGAATGTGTCTGCATGTTTTTGAATGTTTCAAACATACGTAAAATGCCTGTTGGAAAATGTCCCGATAACTACCCCGCGGAGGTGGACATCCCAAGCACTTGTATACAAATATATGTATTCCTCTGAACCCTAAGTGCGTGCCCAGAGCCTCCAGGAGCCTACCCACAGCCTACACCAGGGGAAGGCGGCCGAGAGGCCTCAGATATCACGGCGGCCGAAGGCCTCAGATATATCAGTTCCACTTGCGATGATCACCTGTGTGATGCAACGAATCCGCCCAAAGAAATCGCCATGCGATGCGCTGAAGAAACTCTCTCCGATCGGAGCACTCCCCTCAAGCAGGGTGGCTCGTGGGTGGGAGAGCTTGAGCACAAGTATTAGCAACGGTACGTGCACCCCGAGCAGGAAGGAGGAAAACACAATAATATGTCACATTCCTCTGAACCCTAAGTGCGTGCCCAGAGCCTCCAGGAGCCTACCCACAACCTACACCAGGGGAAGGCGGCCGAGAGGCCTCAGATATCACGGCGGCCGAAGGCCTCAGATATATCATTTTCACTTGCGATGATCACCTGTGTGATGCAACGAATCCGTCCAAAGAAATCGTCATGCGATGCGCTGAAGAAACTCTCTCCGATCGGAGCACTCCCAAATCTTTGCCCATATATGGGAACTCTGGGACGTAGTCACGAATACAAAAGAAAGAGGGTGGGCACGGGTGGGCAAAATTGAACAGCATTCAACAACCACGAATGTATTTGAGTACAGCGGCTGGGAACTGACGGACTGACTTGTTCATCCTGGCGATCTGCACGGTTGTCAGTTTGCTGTACTGCTTCAGGAGTTTGGCATGGCGCTCGTAGCGAGTGACGCTCTTCTTGGCGGCCCAGCGGCCGCGGCGTCGCACCTGCTCCAAGGTCCGGTGCTTGTGGTAGATATCGTGCGAGGGGGCTGTGTGCCGCACGGTGTGCGGTGTGATGTTGAGCTTCTCGTTTCCGAGCGCCTTGGCGGCGTCTCTGAAGTCCCGTTCGTAGTGAGCAAGGGTAAGTGAGTCGAACAGACGTGTCGTAGGACTGGCCTGTGGACTGCCCCTTGAGCGACGCGTGCCAGCGGAGGCGCGTGTCACGAGAGCCTCTGCCACCTGTGGTGCCCACAGGCGAGAGGGACTGCCCAACACCACTGAGTCGTCGACCTGCCCAGTCTCGGTGACAAAGCCGAGCTCCGCCGGGGCAAAGACGATGCCCCAGTCGCGGGACGGCGCCCCGCGAACACCGACGACCGGCTTCAGCACGTTGCCCAGCACGAGATCGACACTCTCAGAGGGCCTGGCGTAGTCGTCCAGCTGCAGGGCCATGCACGAGGCGCTCTCACCCCGCCCGTGGTCGAGCATCCAGACAGCCATGTCCAGCAGCACCTCCTGGGGAGCGGGATCCTTCACGGTCTCGCGGGCCCGCTTGGCCCAGCCAGCGAGCGCCCTCTCGACGTCGCTGAGCCGGTCCCTCTCGAGCTTGTAGTTCGCGGAGTGCAGCAAAAGGTACCCGAAGAAGACGGAGCGGCCCAAGCCAGGCCCATACCCTTCCTGAAACTTAACGTAGTAGTACTGCTTCATGGTGATCGCGAGCTCGTCGGGCTCGGTCGAAAGACCACGCTCTTCGGCCCAACTGAAAAAGCGAGTGAGCTCACGTCGGTAGATGTCCTTGGACTTCTCGCCCGCGGTGCTCTCCTGCAAGAACCGCTCCGCGGGGGCCGAGGACCTAGCGGCCACCACCTTCCTCAGTTGTGCCTTCTGGCGACGTGGCCCAGGCCGGAGGACGACGCCCGAAGCGCAGTCGATTCCCGACGATGTACTCTTCAGCACGCTGCAGGTCTTCAGAGTCGGCGTCGTCCGCCCTCTTAGCCGATCCGCGGTGGGTGTGGGACCTCCGTTGTCCGACAAGTGCCGTAAGAGCTTCATCCCACTTGTCCACGAAAGATGGCTGAGACCCAAGTGCTGAAGACGGTGCGATAGCAAAAATGAGAGAGGCCCACTTTGAGCACAAAGCCGGCGGATATGTCCCTGCTGCCTTTGTTTTGCATTGTGTACGCCAGACTCCATCAACTCCCAAGACTCGTTCTTGACCCTCAAGAATACGATGAACATGACCCCCCTGACACTTCGCCTCGAGCCCGCGCAGGGCCAACATGTTGGTAAGGATAGTGGTGGGCTTCTTGTGGGAGACCTCATACTGGCACATGTGGGAGGTGACCTTGAAGACCTCTGGAAGCCCCATGAGGTCCACGACGGGCCCGAACTCCCAAAGCCCCGACGACGCAGGGTTCTCCAGACTCCAGAGGACCCCGCATCGGGAGGCCAACGTGCACACCTCGGCCGTGAAGAGGGCCAGCTCCACAGCGATAGCTTCCTTGGCGTGAGCCTTTCCCAGATTAGCCACTCCCCTTCTCGAAATAAACCAGGCCGTACATGGGGTCCCCAGATGGATACACCAGACGAGGCCCGCAAGGATCCAGGACTTGATGAGGTTATGAGTGCTTTTTCTGGTGAGGTCGAACTTCGCGCCTCGCAGCAGTTCGCAGGGTGGCCCGACCCGCAGACCGCGGGATCGAAGGGCCCAGGTGAGGCCAGCCTCGCCAGCAAAGAGCTCGAGCGCCACGGTCTCCTTGCCCGGGACAGCGGCTCGGAGGGGTCCTCTACCCCCGAGTGGCTTGACTGGTGTCGCAGCTGGAGGGTCTGCCGAGCCATGCGAACACGACTCTGGATCTCGCTCTGGACGAGGCTCGACATGATGTGACGACCGATCGGCCGACCCTCCAGACTGGTGCAGGCGCGAGCCGGCGTCTGCAGCGTTCCGCTTGCTCTCGATGTGCCGAGAGTGCCAGCGAACCCGAGCGGCGATCTGATATCCAGCCGCCCGTCTCGCCAGCGAATTGAGAGCCCACGACTTCGCGCGGCCCTTCTCGAAAGCACAGATGGACACGAGGTTGTCGCCCAGCGACGCGACCCGCTTGCCGTGGTTGTGGCGAGTGCGGGTCGCTCTCCGCGAACCAAACAAGGAAGCACGACCCTCCTTGATGTTGATGTGCTCCTTGGTCCACTTCCAGCGCCCGACCCGCAGATGGGCCCAGCGGCGCGGCGTGTCCCAGCACTGGTCGACTGGCGGGATGGCGCTGGGCACCTCGACCTCCTCATGCCGTGGTCGGGGGCGAGGCTCACGGGTCCGTCGCCCGACTCGGTCGGCCTTGTCGGCCAGGCGGTGGTGGCGCTCCTCGTCCAGGAGGCGCCCATGCTGCGTCCGCGGGCCAATGGCACAGGGTCGAGACCCTCGCACGGCAACGTCAGCGTAGGCACCCTCGGGCAGATCAGCTCCACCTCCAGGCCGCAAGCGACCTCCAACGTACTCGGCCCACTCGGGCCTGACCAGGGCGACCTCAGAGAGGGTCTCCACCAGCTTGAACCTCCATCTCTCGCGGTAGCGGGTAAGCTCCCGCAGCTCAGCCTCCGTCGCCCTGGTAGAGAGCAGCGCGAAGCCGATGTCCGACGAGTCCGAGCAGTAGACCTCGCGGCTGAAATCCGCGCCCAGGTCGTACTCGCAGAGGAACAACAGGCCCTGGACCAGACGCATCTCGTTCTTGACGGCGTCAGCGAGGCGAACTCGTCGCCCTCGAACGTTGGCCACGCACGGGTAGATCTGCTGAAAGCAAGACAGCCCTGGTCGCAGCAGCCCGAACAGGTTGACCACGTGGCCCATCCAGATCTCCAGAATGTTCTCGTGGACCCAGCGGCGCCGCCGCAAGGCCCGCGTGGCCAAGTAGACGCGCCACACTCGACGAGGCAGATGCCGCAAACAGCGCTGTCGGCCATCGAAGACGACCCCGAGGCTCTCGAAGACCACCCCGACGTCGCCGTCGACGTGCGCGCCGATCCCCGCCTCCGCCGCCGCGCGCCTGAACCGCTCGATCGAGTCCTCGGCGCCGAGCCTGTCCCTGGCGATGGTCGTGAAGTTGTCCACGTAGACGCCGGAGACCGCCTGCCCGACCTGGAGGGCCGGGGCGGGCGCGCGCTCGCGCACGAGCGACCGCGGGCAGACCGCGCTCTTGCCGGCCAGGAAGGTGACGGCCTCGTTGGCCAGGTGCAGCGCCCAGGACCACCCCATCGCCATACCGTGGAAGACGGGGTAGAGGGTGGCGGTCGAGTCGATGGGGACGCGCCTCCCGACGTCGTCGCCGCACACGCTGGAGACGCCCCACTCGCCCGCGGCCCTAGGCATATCGATCCCGAACCACGACCCGAGCTCCTCGACCAGCATCTGGTAGAAGCAGTCGTCGACGTCGCTGGTGCCGCCCCAGACCTCGGCCACGGGCCCGAAGCCGCCGAGGTCACGAAAGGCGGAGTCCGACAGGTCGAGCTCGCAAAACCCGCCGACGGACCCCAGCTTTGTCTTGGGTGGTGCGCGATGGCACCGGTTGGCCTGCCTAGCGTCGATAATGAGCCTAATCCAAGCGGGGTCCTTTTTCTTGACGAAGAAGATCCCGATCTTGGCCTTGAGCTTGCGGCGAAAGCTGATGAGGTTCGCCTGCCGAAGCCGATCGATGAGAAGGAGAAGCCCATCCTGATCCCGAGCAAGCGTGGGATCCCAGTATGGCCGCGGGAAGTCACGCGCAGCCTGCAACTCCAGTATCTGCTCCGAGTCCCTCTCGATGCAGTGGGCGTAGTGTCGGATGAGGCCGGCCGCGTCGGGCGGCAAGAGCGACTTTGCGTCCTTGGCCACGGTCCCCGAGCGGCAAATCTTGAGCTTGTCGATGTCGTACTCGGCGAGATTCTTCGGCTCCTGCGAGTACAGGTCCCTGGACGCCGCGAGCTCCGCGAGGGCTCGACTCTCGCCCAGGTCTCGAAGGGGGGGCCGTGCGCCTTGACGCGCCGTGCAACGTGCTGAAGGACATCGCATTGCAAGGGCGTGGCTCTCTCCCCTCCGCATCTCCTAGCACTTGAGACGCTCGAGAAAGAAGTAGTTGCGGCGGCATGCTGGTTAAGAGATCTAACCGCTTAACACTCTCGCCGATGCCGATGCCGCTGTTCAAGCCGTCGCTGCCGAACGCGTCGAGGAGCGCCGGGAGAAGCGGGCAGAGAGGAAGATGGCGCTGGGAGAGGAAAGAGCTCCCCGCGGCGCCGCTGTGCTCGGAGTCGCCGTCGGACGGCAGCACCTCCGCGGTCGGAACTGGCGGCGGGGTCGGCCATGGAGCACGACCAACCCAGCCTGAGGGGGACCAACCACTGTGGTTAGCCCCTCGCTCCGCCTGACTTGTCGCCCTTGCCGCCGCCCCCCTGCATGGGGCCTTTCGGCTTCCTCGGGCCTCTCGAGTCATCACCATCACCTTTGCCACCACGAGCTCGCTTCTCCTCCTGAGTTCGCTCCTCACGCAAGAGCCGGGCCTGCTTGAGCGTCTGGGCGCGCTCGCCCTGCTTCTTGTAGACCCAGTCGCGGAAGGTCTTGCTGGAGGCAGCACCACTCTCCGTCGTCGGCCCGCCGAGCACCAGGTCCAGGCCTCCGTAGTCAGGGTGCTTCGCATTCCGCTCCACAGCCATCTCGATCTGGACCTGGCGCCGAACCAACTGCTCGAAGCACGCCAGGTTCGGGATATTGAGCTGATCCACCTGGTGGGCCAGCCTGAGCACCTCCGCGTTGTTCCTGTGCTCGTGGAGGGCCGCGGTGCCGTCGCCGACGCCGCTGTCCTGCCTCCACTCGCTCTCGTAAACGACCATCGAGCCAGGCCCATCGCGGATCGACTCGAGGTACTCCAGGGCTGCTCGCGGCGGAGGGAACGGCCAGTCCTCAAAGCTGTCCTCTGTGAACAGCTGCACCGCGTCATGCAGCGCGAGGTTCCGCTTCCCATGCTTGCGATGGATGCCGAGGATCCTCGAGTCGCTCTCGGTCTCCTCGCGCTTCTGCCTCCACTCGTCGACCTTGTCGGCCGCAACCCGCTCCACGAACCTTTTCTCGCCCAGCCAGTCGACCACCCCGAGCGTGCCCAGGGAAACGAACCTCTGGTCATCCTCCAGCACCTCGACGGGGACCTCTTTGCCAAAATGGTCGTTCCCCGCCTCATACACCAGCCACTTGACTTCCTCGGCGTCCTCGAACTCCACGTCACCGAGGATGGCAGCCTGCACTCGGGCCTGGCGCTTGAGTTCGTCGAGCTGCGCCCGGCCAACGCCGTCGTCGTCAAAGACATAGCAGCGGGCCGCAAGGTCGGGCGGGAAAGCCTCCCTCCGACCGATGTTGCGGTGCCGCTGCACGTTGAGATCATGAATCAGCATGCCCAGGTCGGGCGTGAGGCATACCCATCGGCCCCCAGCAACACGATACAGAAGAACGCGATGATGCCACACAAGCCCGTTCTCGTCATCTGGATAGTGGACGAGGACCTGCGTCTCCTTGACATCAAGCGAGGGCATTCCGGCGCGAAGCCGGCGTGACAGGCCCCGAGCTGTCGGTCAAGACCGTGATCACCGACGCCGCCGGCGTGGATGATGATCCGTGGGTGGTGGGAGCCGGACGTCGTGGCCGTATGAGCGATACTCCACTGCCAACGGCGAGCCCGACCAGCAGCCCCGCGGCGCCAGAGACCACAGTCACGAACGCCCCGACGAGGATGAGGTACCTGACAGGCTCGGGCGCCGGGCAGTTGCACTCGCAGTGCGCCGCTGGACAGGTCGGCCCGGTGCTTGTCGCACAAGTCAAGCTTGGGCACGTCGGACAGGGAGGGCAACTCGAGGCCAGAGAGGCGGTCCCCACGTGGAGACCGAGCGTGGTCAAATCCCGCGCGGCCGCGAGAAGTGTGGGGATCGGCTCGGCCAGCCAGGTCATAAGAGCTTGAGCACAAGTATTAGCAACGGAACGTGCACGCCGAACGGGAAGGAGGAAAACACAATAATATTTCACATTGTTCTCTATTCTATATGTACTGTATAAAGCTGGAAAATATTGGGCATCATGCCTCCTCTCCATTGATCGGTTTCCACAACCCTTGCACAACTAACACCCGTTTCGGAGCAGGGCAGGGCGAGTTGAGACAACGGCAGCTCAACATCAATTCCTGGACCACTCCTGCAGTCGAGGACGCGCGAGAGGACACAAGACCCTTCCGAGGGCCACGTTGTCATAGGAATGAAACAAGCATGGGTCGCGAAACATTGTTTTGATCCGGGGGTCGAGAGCGCACCTCTTCCGGTCGAAGCTAAGCGGGCCGCGCGAAGCTTGAATCAATCAGAGATGGGGGGGGAAAAGGGGGGCGCAGCCTCAGAACGAGGCCGGGAGGAGGCAAAGCCTCGGAATCAGGCCTGGGTCGCGAAACACAGGACACAACGGTACCCGTGATTTGGCAGGGTCGACCTACGAATCGAACCCGATGGCAGGGTCCCAACGCACTGATTTCACGAGCTGCGCCCACCCGTGGCGACGCGGGGCCCCCACAAGCCCACTGTCGTTGCCTCGGCTCGCCATCCTCTGTCCATCGCTCGGACGTCCATTCCCTGTGTTTTTCTCGGTTTCGTGAGTGGCTTTTTCGCCAAATGATCAAGGATGCTCTTCGATGGTCCTCGCCGGAGGAAAAATGCACACGTCCGAGCGATGCCAAGTCCTCTGACACCTTCCTCTCCCGACGCCTGCCCGGTCCTCCTCCGGAGGCCTGCTTCGCAGGCGACCAGGTCTGCATGTCAGTGAGGTTGAGGCAGTCGAACAGCGGGCAGCCGCGGTGCTCCCTCTTGCAGCACCAGCCCTTCTTCGCGTCGTCCCACCTCGGGGTCGGAACGGAGGGGGCAAGAGCAGGAGCATGTGGAGAGTACAGGCGGTGATGGGCAAGGGAAGGAGTACTCCCTGAACCCAGTCAGCGACGTACCCCCGCAGTCAAAAACAAAAAAACGACCTGAGAGCGATCGTATGGCTCTTGGCGACACGCACTAATTCTCCTCGAAGCGGCATTGCTGAGAAGACAACCGCAATAGGTTGACAATTGTTCTAGTTCGCCGCGCGCGCGGGGCGGCCCCTGAGGATCCCTGGGCGGAAAATAACCCGGGCACACCTCGGCCAACCCTGGGTTAAGGATGTTTTTGTTGTTCTGGGCATCGCCCTTGAGACTCCCAGGGGCGCTGCAGGAGTCTTCATCGAAGCCTGCAGGAGAGCCCGAGGGAGTCTGAGACAGTCCAAGAGCGCTCCAAGACGTCCAAGATAGTTTCTTCACGGTCCAAAAAGCCTCTAAAACGCCCCAACAGCGCTTCAAGACCTAGTGATATTCCTACGGTTGTTGCAGGATTTGGGCGTCACCGCCTTTTCGGGCTGCCGACTGGCCGAAACGGCCCAAGAGGCCCCCGAGAGGTTCCAGGACGACCCCAAACCGGCCGAAGGGGGCCCCAAGTTGGTCCAAGAAGCCCCCCAAGAGAGTTCCAGAGGCCCCCAAGGGAGCCCCAAGCAGGGGAATCCGAGCTGACATGGCGAGCCCTTTCCCAAAAGATGGTTCCCGAGACCGCCAGCAGGCCCCCGAGAAGCCACCGAAGCCCGAAATAATCCCCAATGAGGCCCCAAGGAACCCCAGGATGTCTCGAAATGCCGCAAACAGGCCCTCAAAAGGCCCCCCAAAAGGCCTCTCAAAGAGGCGCTTTGTCCACGACCCATATTTGCCCCAAGATACCACAAAAAAACCAGCGAGAGACCTCCTCCTCCTCCTCCTCCTCCTCCACCTCCTCCTCTTCCTCCTCCATCCCCTTTCCTCATCAATAACTCCTCCCTGTCGCACCCCGAAGCCAGTCGAAAGGGTCGGCCGGACGTTTCGCCTGAGACTTCCTCACCATGTACGATCCTGAAGCTCAGACTTTGCAACAGCTTCACGGACGGAGGGCAGGCCGTTTTCAAAATGTGGCTCTCGCCTGAGAGCCACCCACGTTCGTTTCACAACTTTCAAGAGCTTCCCAGATGGAGGGCGGGTCGTTTTCAAAATACGGCTCTAGCCTTAGCGCCACCCACATTCGTCTTCAAAAACTGCAGGAGCTTCACAGATCGAGGGCGGGCCGTTTTCAAAATGCGGCTCTCGCCAGGGTTCCGCGCACGTTCGCGTCACGAACATTGCAGGAGCTGCACGGATGGAGGGCGGGCCGTTTTCAAAAATTGCCTTTCGCCATCGCGCCGCACACATTCGTCTCAGAGTTTGCAAGTACTTCACAGATGGAGGGCGGTTCCTTTCCAAAATGTTGTCCTCACCCTAGCGCTGCGCACGTTCGTCGTAAGAGTGTGCAACTTCTTCAAGGACTCTCGTGGCTCACGTCCCAGAGATGGTGTTTCGACACGATGTCGGAATGACAGGGCGCGTTGGTGTTCTGGCACAGTTCCGGATGTTCAAGCGACTGTCTTCCAACGGGCAACTTCCCTCAATGAACATGAACCCTTGTAGGGGCTTGTGAAGAAGGAACTTGATCGCATCGTGCCATATCGCTAAACGTTGCAATATCGCTGATGAGTATAGGATTTACGTTGGCCCTCCTCATGAGGGAGGCTTTATTGCAATATCGTTGATGGGTATTGGATTCACGCTGGCCCTCCTCATCCTCCTGCTGCTCCTGCTGCTCATCCTCCTCCTTCTCCTCCTGCACGCCAACACAGCAACAGTGATGCAAGGGCAGAAGGAATGAGCCAAGCGATCCGCTGCCCCACTGGGTACGGCGTGTGGGCCCACCACCGCATGATCTGCCATGACTGTCTCTCGCGAGTCTCCTAAGCAGCGAACTTGTCATGACTATCTCGGGCCGGGCGAAAGGAGGGAATAGCAAAGGGTGGGGGGGAGAATCATCTCACGTAGCTGATTTTCCCGGCGCCTCCCGGCGCCGGAGGCGGCCATGTCTCGAGGAATGGGCCCCTCGGCGAGGCCGAAACCAGCTGCATGCAGCAAATTTCGTCCCGACTATCCCTGCCTCTGAGCCTCCCCGAACCCCTCCTGGAGTCCTTCCCGGGGACCGCCCGTTCCGCCGGCCCCGACGGCCGGGGGCGCGGCCGGGGCGCCTTCTTGCCACCCGTTCCGTCTCAAAACGACCCCCGTTTCAGGTGCTCGTGTTCTGGCCGCCGCCCAGCCCTCTCATAGGGGCTCACATGCGAAGTGAACCCCACCCTCCCCCTCAGAAACCGTGGGGGGTAGGGGTAGGGTTCGCATGTGGCCCCCTATCTCAGAAACCTCTCCGGGAGCCTCCCAGGCTGGTGTCAGGGAGCCTCTCGGGGCCCTCCTGGGCTCCTTGTGCCAGTCATGACGGCTACATTGGGCCGCTCTGGATGCCTCTCAACCTTAGTTCGGGTTCAGAACACCTGCAAACCCCGATGCGCAAAACAAGCAATAAAGAACACAGAAGATGTTGAGGAGTTCAGCCGTATCGGTTTTGCGCCTCTCTTGAAGCTCCCGTGCATCTCCCCGGGCTCCTCCCTCAATGTTGCGGCCGTCCTGACTACCTCTGCGGCCGTCCTGACTGCCTCTCGGGCCCCCCCCCGAGCTTTCTGGACGCCTCCTGGGTAGCCCCCAAAGGCCCCCGGGAGCCTCTCCAGGAGTCAAGAACTAAGTCGCGATGTTTTTGTTCCGATCCCGTTTCCCTCCTGCACGCCACTCCGCCGCACTCGACCCATCATGGTCACTTGAGGCCCCTCTCGGAGCCCCCTGGGCGCCATTTCTGGGCCGAGTCCGACGGTTGTTGGGTTTTTGTCCCGACTCTCAGCGACAGTCCTAGAAGCATGTCGGGGCCCTCCTCGGCTTCAAGGGGACGGTTCTCGGACACTGCTCGCGCCTTCTTGAGCCGCCTTCGCCTCTGTGACCCGATGCTACTCAAGTGGTGTCCCATCGCGGGATTCACGTCGTCCCACATCTGCATCAAAGCGATCGCGCTCCAAAAAGCGGATAGCAAGAAATCAGGTGGGTGAGAAGCACGATATCCGTCATCACCTAAACAAAGAGACGACGACAATGGCAACGCACTGAGAAGAAGCAGGAGAAGGCAGGGAAGGTGGAGACGGGGATGGGAGACAGGATACTCCGGGGGATAAGGAGGAGAAGGGCAAGCAGGCTGGGAGGGGGAGGGGGGAGGGGGGAGGGGAGAGAGTGAGATGGGAGGCGTCAGGAGAAGCAGCAGCACGGAGAAGCACTGAGAAGGGCGGAGAAAGACAGAGCATGATGGAGGGTGGAGGACGGAGGACGGAGGTCGAGGACAGAAGAAGCAGGATGAAGGGCGGAGGACGGAGGAGGGAGGATTGGCGGTGGCCCCTCCTCCCCACCCGTCGCCCACCCCTTCCTGATCCGTCCCTCCCCTGGGCCCCCTTCTGCGGTTGGGCGCTGCCCGCCCAGTCTCCCAGAAGTCGTACCCGGCCGCGCAGTCGTAGGGCGCGACGGTTGTCGTGTTGGGCGCCTGCGCCGCCTGCTGCATGTCCTGCACGGAGCCGAGGTGGGCCACCGCGCAGCCGATTTCCTCCCTGTCGCAGCACCACTCCTGGAGGGGTAGGGGGAGGGCTCCATACTTGCCGCGCTGTCCTATTCCTGCTCTTTCCTCATCGCCCTCCTGTTGCTGCTGTGCTTTCCTCGCGCCCTTTGCCACCTCCTCCTTTTCCTCCTCCTCTTCCTCCTCCTCCACCTCCGCGTCCTCCACCCATACCTGTTCTCCTTTGTCATCCACATGTCTTTATCGTCCTCCTCCTCCTCCTCCTCCTCCTCCTCCTCCTCCTCCCCCTCCTCGTCCTTATATTTCACCTCCTTTTCCTCCTCCTCCTCCTCCTCCTCCTCCTCCTCCTCTTGCACCTCCTCCACTCCCATCTTCTACCTCATATCCTCATCCACTTCTTCCGCGCCCGTCCCTGTCATACGATTCGCTCTGCTCGAACATGGGTCGGATGACCGTCGTGCCCGCAGTGAGCCACCAGCCAGGAGAATGCAACAGCCGCGACACTCCGTCCTCCTCGAATCTCGAGCTAGCAACATTGTGTGAGCCTGGCAGTGCAGACGCAAGCCCTTCCAGGCAGCAAGAGGGGCCCGTTCTTCTAAGCACTCCGTCCGCCTCCTCCTCCTCCTTTTCCTCCTCTTCCTCTTCCTCCTCCTCCTCCTCCTCCTCCTCCTCCTCCTCCTTCTCCTCCTCCTCCTCCTCCTCCTCCTCCCCCTTCCGCACCAGGCACGATGTACACCTGGGCGGTTTGGGTATTTTTTACCAAGGAAGGCGGTCAAGGATTCATTATTGAGGACCCCCTTTATTAAGGATCACTGGGAGGAGAAGAAACAAATAAAAACGCAAAGGGATTCCTTAGTGCGGGCACAATACTAGTCACCCCCCAGTAAGGAAACCTGACTCAAGCTACCGCACGAAGGATTATTACTTTAGATCCCTTACTGAAGACACCTTTTAGCCAGGATGCCTTACTAAGGGTTCCTGAATACGGACTTGCGATAAAAGAGTCCTCAGCAAGGATTCCCTAGTAAGGAAGCCTTACTAAGGGCTCCTTACCAACAAGCTCCCTAGTCTAACGTTGCTACAGCTGATTCCTAATCAAGGATTCCTCACTACTGGGTGCCTTACTAAGGAATCCTTGACCAGGATTCGTTACAACGGATTTCCTTGCGCGGACCCCTTACGACGAATTCTGTCTTAAGGACTCCTTACTAAGGGTCTCTTACGGAGGAGGCGCAATTAAGGAATCCTGATGAAGGATTCCCTAGCCAGGATCCCTTCTTAAGGATCCATGACGAAGGACTCCTCAATAAGAGCTGTTGCTAAGGGCCTGTGATTAAGGGACTCCTCAGAAGGGCTATTTAGTAAGGACTCCTTATTTGAGATGCCATAGGAAGGACACCTTACTGCGGATTCCTGTGTGAGGAATTCTTACTAAGGTGCACTTACTACTAACCATGTGCGTGGGATTCCCGACAAAGGATCGAAGCTTCCTCACTGAGGGTTCCATGATAAGGAATCAGTGTGGTTCATTCCTCCGCAAGGGTTTCCCACTAAGGGACATGTGCTGAAGGCTCCCTAATAAGGAGACATCAAACGGATTTCTCATGGAGGATTCCGTATTAAGGGGTCCGTCGTAAGGGTTCAGTTTTCAGGGTTCCGTATTAAGGGTTCCTCGCGAATTATTTCCCATTCAAGATTCCTTCCTAAGAACTGTGTGTCAAGAATTCCATACTTAGAAATCCTTACTCAGGAGGCGCTACAAAGGAATCCGTATGATGGGTTCCCTTATCAGAATCAATTCGCAAAGATTTCTTGTTTCGCATGTGTTACTACTAATATTGCCGTAAAGACTCCTTGGCACAGATTCCGTATCAAGGGTTCTTTGATACCCTGTTTCCAGTCAAGGGTTCCATAGCAGGGGTACCCGAGTAGGAAACATGTTTGCTCAGCGTTTCCGACTAAGGATATCTGCATAAGTATCGTTATTGATGATGTGCTGCGGCTGGTGCCTTACTAAGGGTTCCTTATGAAGGTCTTACCACAGGGGTGTTGTTACGAATTATTTCCAGCTAGGATCCTTTACCATGAACCCGTTGGACACGATTCCTTACTAAGGAGTCCTTATGACGGCGGCGGTAGTAAGCAACCTGGTTAAGGACCCAGTCGGATCTCAAAGGATTCCTGGGTTCCCCAGGGATTCGCAAGGACCCGCGAGGAGTCCACTGGATCCCTACACATTCCGCCTGGAGGGGAGGAGAAAAAAATACTGCGTACCCCCCCCCCCCCGCAAAAAAAACAAACTCGGGAAGAATCCCGGGGAGAGGGGAGGCGCGGATTTGTCCGAAATCATGATTGTATGATTGTTGTTGCTGTTGCTGTTGTTGTCGTTGTTGTTGTTGATGGTGTTGTCGCTGCTGCTACTGCTGTTGCTGGCGTTGGTGGTGTTGGCGTTGTGCTGTTTGGTGGGTGTTGGTGTTGGTGTTGGTGTTCCCGTAAGTTTTTGCCCGCGTTCTCGGCAAGGTGCTGAATAACGCCAAAACCGCATAGGCCTGTGGTGTGCCCTGCGTCCCTCCTCCTCCTCCTCCTCCTCCTCCTCCTCCTCCTCCTCCTGAACCTCCGCCTCCGCCTCCGCCTTCACCTCCTCCTCCTCGCCCGCATCATCACAAGCATCATCACAAGCATCAGTATCCTCAGCAGCATTAGCAGCAGCAGCAAAAGCGTACGAATCAGCCCAACCATGTTCATCGCTACCATCGTTACCACTATCATCATGATCATCACCATCATCATCATCATCATCATCATCATCATCAGCAGCAGCATCATCATCAGCATCATCAGCAGCAGCATTACCATCACCATCACCATCACAATCATCATCATCATCAGCAGCAGCAGCATCATCAGCATCCGCCTCCAAATCGTCGTCGTCATCATCATGATCAGCATCATCAGCATCACAACCACCGCCATTATCACATCGTCATCTGCAGCATCATCACCAGTGGCATCAATATCACCACCACCGCCACCATCGCATCCATCAGCAGCAGCCCCCACCTCATCATCCTCATCATCATCAACAGCATCATCACCATCCGCATGCCTTCGCCTTCATCATTATCAGCATCATTATCATCATCCTAATCATCAACCTCATCAGCAGCATCATCATCAGCAGCACCATCATCATCATCATCATCATCATCATCATCATCATTATCATCATCAGCAGCATCACCCACATCATGATCATCAACAGCATCATCTGCATCACCACCTGCATCATCATCAGCAGCATCACCATCATCATCAGCATCATCGCCATAATCGTCACATTCACATTGCTCAGTTTCATCATCATCATCATCATCAGCAGCAACAGCATCATCATCATCTGCGGCATCATCAGCAGCATCATCAGCATCAGCAGCATCATCATCATCAGCATCATCATCAGCAGCAGAGTCATCAGCAGCAGCATCAGCATCGTCATCATCAGCATCATCATCAGCATCATCAGCATCAACAGCATCACCAACAGCGTCATCATCATCAGCAGCAGCATCAGCATCAGCATCAGCATCATCATCATCCTTATCACCATCATCATCATCGTCATCATTATTATTAACATTCCCAGCATCACCATCATCATCAGCAGCAGCAGTATCATCAGCATCATCATTATCATCAGCACCATCAGCATATCAAGCACAACCATCACAACCACCATCATCAGAATCGTCATCAGCAACATCATCATCATCACCACCATCATCCTCACCACCATCAGCGTCATTTTCACTGTCATCATAACCATCATCCACATCATCGTCATCATCACTACCATGATCAATCAAGTTAACAACATCAGCATCATCAGCATCATCAGCATCGTCATCAGCATCCTCATCATCATCAGCATCCGCATCGGCGTCAGTAGGATCATTATCATCATCATGGGAAGCATCAACATCATCAGCAGTAAAATCTTCAACATTACCATAGCAGCATCACCATCGCCAAGTAATCATCATACTCATCATTACAACAATCAGCAGCATCATTAGCACCATCATGATGAGCATCATCATCCTCAGCATCACCGGTATCACCAACAATACCCTCATCAGCAGATTCGCACTCAGCATCATCAGCAACACCATCATCATCATCATCATCATCATCATCATCGTCGTCATCATCATCTTTAGCATCAACATCAGCAGCATAAGCTGCATCGTCATCACAGCAGCATCAGCATCAGCATCATCATCAGCGGCAGCATCATCATCATCATCATCATCGGCACCATCACCATCATCAGAATCGTCACTATCATCAGCATCATCATTATCATTCACAACATCCGCAGCATCAGCAGCGTCACCATCAGCATCATCAGCATCAACAGCATCATCAGTACCAGCAGCATGGGTATCAGCATGCTCATCATGATCATCGCCAGCGGCATCATGAGCAACAGAGTCATTATTACCACCACCATGATCATCATCGTCATCATCATCAGCATCATCACCGCAATCATTATCAGCAGCAGCATCAGCATCAGCATCGGCATCGTCATCAGCTTCACCAGAATCACCATCATCATCTCATCATCATCAGCAGCCGCATCAGCAGCACTATGGTCATTGTCATCAGCATCCCTGCCACCAGCATCACCATCATCAGCATCATCATAATAAGCAGCAGCATGACCATCATCATGAGCGGCAGCATCACCGTCATCATCACCATCATCAGCATCAGCATCATCGCCATCACCCCATCATCATCATCATCATCATCATCATCATCATCATCAGCATCAGCATCAGCATCACCATCATCATTATAATCATCAGAATAAGCATCATCGGCATCATCAGCATCGTCAGCATCATCACAATCAACATCGTCGTTGCCATGATAATCACAACTCTCAGAATCAGCAGCACCAGCATCATCATTAGGTCAGCATCATCACCATTTCATCCGCATCAGCATCAGCATCAGCATCAGTAGATTCATTATAATCAACGAAA